CTCTGCTGGTTGCCTGGCAAACTCAGTCATGACAAGACTCCAGTATCTCACTGCGCCCCGGCTAGTCCTCAGTAAAACCACATCTTTTTTTGTACAGAATTGAGAATATGACATGTTAATGGATGAACTTTAGTGATGCGAGGTGGATTTTGCAACCTTTGGACAGAGCCAGGCACGCTGTCCCCCCAGTCTTCCTGTCTTTAGGCTAAACTAAGCTAAGCGGCTGCTGGCTATGAATGTTTCACACAGACGTGAGACTTAAACTTAGACTTAGAAAGTGAAAAGCAAAATATTCTTTTAAACATGGTGACAGAATAAAGCTGTTGTGACAGTCTCAACAATAACAAAAGCCCTTGAGCTTTATACAGGTAGTATTTATTTCACTGCTATTTTGGTGTGTTGCATTTTATTTAAAGGAGTTGTTATTTTGTCCATTCTCTAAAAATGCTACAAATTCCATGTCTTAAAGTAAAACACCTGCTGCTTGCTGACCACCAAGAGGACTATTTAAGGACTGCTAAGCCCCACTTAACCTTCATTAAGATGCCTGAAATACACTAGAGATGGTTTACTTATTTACAAAATCCCATTTAATGTAGCACTTTCTTAATCAACATACTAGTGTCGAATAACTTCACACCAGACTAGAATGCAAAGGTCATGGCTGAACAGCTCTCAGTATTCTTCAGTTTACAGTATATTTGTGTGTCTTCCATTATTTGAAGTGCTTTCACGAGGAGGAAGCAAAGTTACCTCACTCACAGCTGACTTGGCACCAGCTTCTGTTCATGCATATTTAAAAAGCAGATTTGGCAGAACTGTCCCCATGTCAGTGTTTACAGAAACTGCTGTGTGAATCCACAATTAGGAGTCACACAGCAGCATTGGTGATATTTGTTAACGTCAAAATAAAATGCAGCAAATGTATTACATGTATAGTAATCAAGAGGTTTTGAGAGCTACCTTGAGCCAGTTGAAAAACCATCTGACAAAGCAATAGATAGGATTATTGTGGTGTGGGTTAAAGAAGGAAATAAACTTGTTTTCCACATTCTCAGGCCAAATCATGGAGGTCTTGGCCTGTGGAAAATGCCAGAAATCCGCTTTGGTTAAGGGAGGTTGGGAGCTCATTTAAATCTCCACACATT